TTTTTTTTTTTTTTATAATTACATCCTTAAGAGTTATATATATATATATACCATAAACCACTCAAAGAAACATTATGGAGTAGGAACGTAGAAGATTATTAGAGATAATATATACTTGTATTGTATTTGCCTTAAGACTTTCCTTAATTAAATACTTCGTATATTTTTTTTTTTAATTGGTAAGATGAACTTTCACCTTGAGAGGGGGGAATAAGGGAAATTCTCTCAAGATGAGTTTGATGAGAATCGAATCCAGGTCTCTCACCTGGAATTCGAGAGACTTGGCCAACTGAGCCAAGCCTCCTTCTCATTAAATATTCCTTACATTACAAGTATTAATTACAGGTAAAGAAGGGTAAGGGTATACGTATACATATACGTATATGTATACAATAGTTGTATCTTCATTACACAATTTCAGGTGTGGCCCCTTGTATTTTTCCACTCTTGCCAATTTGCCATTCCCTTCTCTTTCTTTTTTACTCTGATGATGAGTACCTAACCTTTTACGTAGTACAGTAGTATGTACAAGTTTGAGCAAACAACGCACGTGCAACGAGCTGTTCAACTGCTGAGAATGTGAGACAGCTTTAGAGGTTTTTAACCCTACTGTTATTGTTTACTCCTTTATGTGCACTTGAACCATTCATTAAAATTTAAAAATGGTTAAGGAGTACTTTCGTATTCCAAAATTTTAATTTCCAAGCCTTCCTCCATTCGTAACAGTTTGACTTTTGTATTATTTATATAATATTGTATTATTTTTAACTTAATTATTTATTAATATATAAAATTATATAACTAGTAATACTTTGTACTTCATATGTTATTGGAATAATATTTGATTTCGTTTAAGGGATATATTTTGGATTGAATGGCCATTCTTAATTAACTAATCAACAAGCATTTGATTTTTGGACTCCATTTCCCACACTAATTATCATTAAAAGAAGAGTAATGATACAACAAGTTATGAAACCTTTAAACTTTTTACAAAATTTAATAGATTTTTTAAATCTGAGCCGTAGGTCAATGCATATAGAATGAGACACTATGAGTTAATTGATGAGTAGGTGAAGAGCAGGGTGACAACGTGACATTCCGATTTTGATCGATAGATTGTGAGCCCCTATAAACTAATACTTGTATATATTTATAAGTCAGGGGGCGAATGATATTCAACTGCAATTAATGGAATCTACTAAAATTGCCATGCAAAATTATAACCGCAAATAAATTATAAGTTCTATGTAAGGGGTTGGTCAATACTACATTAATTTAGTTTGTTGCGACCCTGTGATTTGGCTGCATTTTATAACTGCACGTCATCCTCATATTACTTATTTCTTCTGGTGTCCGTCTTTTAAAGATTGTCTTATATACAAATAACAAGTATAATTAAAACGTCTCTAAAATTGTCTATTTTCATTTACCATATGTAATGATATAATCTTTGTTTTAACTTGTAAATTGATCGAGGAGGAGAGTTGGTCCACTTTTAAGTCAGAAGGAGGTTTCATACTAAACTAACTTGTGATAATAAGAGTAACTCGATCCTTTACCTTATAAAGTCAAAACTTTTTTTTTTTCTAATCCAAAACACTAACAAATGTTACTACAATAAGTTTCAACATATTATACTCTAAAGTAATGATACAATCTATCTTAAAAAAAAAAAAAGAAAAAAAGAAAAAAAGAAAGTAGTGATACAATCTTTAGATGAAATGAAGCTTTCATTGATGATTCAGCTGGAATTAAACAAAAGGGATAATTAGTGGGGACTGGGGGTAGCTAGCTAAGAACTTAAGAAGCCATTAATTTATTAATATAATAAACGTGGTTCGTGAAGGGCAAAAAAAAAAACCAAATTCTCTACTCACCTAAAGCACAATTACTCTTCCCGTAAAAAAATAAAATAAAAATTATTCTTGTTCAGGTAATTTAAAATTTAACCATATAAATAGAAAATTGTTAAAAAAAAATATGGGATTATGGGTGCTTGATCGAAAGACATTGAGGAAGAAAAAGTAAATGAAATAAAAGTGGAATGGCGAAGTATAATGGGCCTATAATTGTAATTAATTAAAGTAATCAACTCTATTATTAATTTAATTATTTCGTCAAAAAAAAAAAAAAAAATTTATTACTATCATTATTAGTCCAGCAGTTCAATTATGGAAACCCAAAGCAGCAGCATCTGCACGACTCCCGTGTGCATTTGCTGTCGTTTTTCTTATACTTCGTATATAATTTTATTTACTTAATTCGGATATAGCAAATAATTAAACTTTGTACTAACTTTAGCTTGTCTATGAATGCACCAATTCATTTTCAAATAAAATAAGCAACTCATTACAAATTCTTATATAGGGGTTACTTCGTTAGTGTTATAGGGGGTACTCATCAGTGTTTAGGGTTACTTCGTCAGTGTTAAATGATATACTCAGTAAGTGTTATAAGGGTTACCCGATCAGTGTTTTAGGGGTTACTTGGTTCTTTTACAAGCGGTCACACGGTGTAGCCAGCTGCACACAAAACGTGCTGGTAACTCATTAACTTGACGACACCAAAATTGTTTTTATTACGGAGTATATGTTTTTTTTCATTGTCACTGTTGTTAATATTTTGTCATTGTCCAACTTATTTAAGATACTTACATTAGTTTTTTTTTGAGAGAAACTTACATTAGTTACATACATGCAAGTGATGCAACACCAAACATTGCATTATTATTTCAATTTTTTTTAGCAGTTACATACTCATGTTTCATGCGATGGATGATCATATAGGGTCAAGGGATGTGTATAAGGAGATAAGCAGTGCTTGGTTTATGCACCCGATTTAATCCGAAATCACTACTCCTATCAATATCAAATGCACGCGCTTTACTTTTTGAAAGAGTATAAGGGCAAAATAAGAAGAGTACGAGTAAAATAAAACACCATTCAGACTCAAAGAACATAGAGTAAAACCATAGTAGTTCAAACCCAAATAGCAAATATCTAATCTGATCTATATTCGTGAAAAAACATTGATCATAATGAAAAGAACCTAGACATAAAAAAACCACAATTTTTTGTATGTGGCCTACTGTATCGTGTGGAAGAGGTTACTCGAGTTGCCGGGGTTACTCAAGTTACTCAGTCAAGGGTTACTTGAGTTACTCCTGACCGAGTAACCCCTCGAGTAACTCCTCAAGTAACCTCTCGATTAACCTATGACAGAACCCCTCAAGTAACCCCTGACCGAAAAACCCCTCATGTAACCTCTGGCCGAAAAACCCTCAAGTAGCATCTGACTGAGTAACCCCTCAAGTAACCCCTAACTAAACCCTCAAGTAACCCTTGACCGAACTCCTGAAGTAACCTATGACCAAATTACTCGAGTAACCCCTGACCGAACTCCTTAAATAACTCTTAACCGAGTAACTCGAGTAACCCATGATCAAGTAACTCGAGTAACCCATGACCGAGTAACCCTTGATCGAGTAACTCGAGTAACCCCTGACCGAGTAAATCGAGTAACCCTTGATCGAGTAACTCGAGTAACCCCTGACCGAGTAACCCTTGACCGAGTGAACCCCTCGAGTAACCCCTGATTGAATAACGAACTCGGGTAACCCCTGTCACATGGTGTGGCCTGCTGCACCAAAAAGTTGCTTTAAAAAAAAAAAACTAATTCAAACACTATATATAAATGCATATTTCAAAGCCAAATAACATGGTATATGATTTTTCTTTTTTGTAATACTTATATACTTCATATGTTTTTCTCTAATATGCAAGAGAGAGGGATGCACATATTTCGTTTTGATGAGGTTGTCGATTTTGATTGGATATTGGATAAATAAGGGCAACTGTACACTTGGATGTTCCATCTAATTTGTGGGCGCTAAAAGTCAAAATACTAAGCATTAATTAAAAAAAAAAAAAAAACCGATTGGTTTTTAATTAACATACATTTCTAAACTCCTATCCTTTCATGCTAAGAAGTATTTCATATAGAATTTATTTAATGTTCAAATAACCATCTTAGCTACGTATATATCATAATCTTGAAATATATATTTTTCAAAGTCGTGAAAAGCTTGTTAGGTAGTTACCTACAAAATTACTCAAACTTCTTCTATAACTACAATCAAAACTTGGGAATCAAATCAGTCCATCAGATTCGGAGGCGTCACAATAGATAAGTCAAGTACTCGTATTGCTTATCATCAAAACTTAAGTCTAATGTAATCTTGACGTGCAGAGTTATATGAGTGTTAACGAAGGAAAATGGTGACGCATTTTCATGTCCATGTATAATACTGTACGTAGCTTCTAATCAATTTCTTGAAAAGGAGATTGAATTTTAATGGCGTCAAATGTAATTACCCAAAATTCAAAGCTTTTATTGATAAAGATTAGCCTTACAAGAGCAAAACTCCAAAACTATAGCTGGAACAAGGCTACCAATCAATTACTCCGTATGATTGAAGGATTTAAGTAGCAGTTATAACATCGAAGACATTTTAAGTTTTGAATTTAATTCTAAAGCATAAATAATGCATAATCACAACTATGTCGACAAAGAAATGAATCCGTTTTATAAAATTGAAGTAATCTTAAGTTTTGGCTTTTCTAGAGCATAAATGCATATATAATCACAAATATGTTGACAAAGAAATGAATCCGTTTTATAAAATCAAAGTAATCTTAAGTTTTGATTCGAGTTTGATTCTAAAGCATGAATGCATAATCACGACTATGTTGACAAAGAAATGAATCCGTTTTGATAGAGAAAACTTGGTCCATACATTGATTTTTTTTTTCTTTTTTCTTAAAAAGAAAATTAGGCAAAAATTAATACATCTTGCTTCTCTTAGTAACGAAAATTTAACAACATATATATGTACTTACTAATATAGAGTATATTCATGTATAAAATTTTTGACAAAAGTAGTGTATTTACATATACAGCAATATATATATATTGTGTAATAGAAACGATTAAGGCAATTAAGTTCAATGTACATATGTTATGAAATGAATAGAATATTATTATTACAAAATTTTAAGGATCAAAACCTAGAAGTTTGGGAGCAATTTTGAGCAAAGGCTTCAAGGTATCCCCTACAAATTTCCTAGCAAAAAGATAACACATAGACGTTACTTCACCATTATACATGCAATTCGATATTTCAAATCTAATTTTGTTAAGAAACTCCTCTGTTATGTCACGACTAATAAATCGACCAGGGTGAGGTCCGACATGTGACCAATCAACCCAAGTAATCCCTCTCTTAGCAATTAGGTCTGGAAATAGTTTATTAGCTAACGTTGGAAAATAATGCTCGTCATTGTAGCAAGGTGGATGGCAATGCTCTTCAAAAATGGAGTAATACCTTTTATCCGAAACCATACGAATGGCGACTTCACGTTCAGCTTCGAACCATTGGGAACCTTTTCTCCAATCTTGAATGGTTATGTTAGGCCACATTTTATGGTTGTAACGTCCACGGCCGGGTTTTCTAGGATCATCATGGGAAGCAAGATAACTTACATTAGAATTTGTCAAGTAGTTGTAAATTGTGGTGAAATTGAAAAGAGGGATGCATGATTCTGATAGTAAAACGAATTTTTGATTGGAAAAATCTAAGAGGGAATTGGCTAAAAGCCGTTTTTCTGCATCGATCATTGACATAGTTCCCCGAACTACTTCCTGAAAATTCAAACAATGAGTTAATACTTAATAGTAGTAGACTAGTAATAATTGTTTATATTTTCATATTCAAATAAAACTCATAAATAAAATAATAAAAATAAAAAAATACTAAAATCTAGTCAATAAAGTACTTCGTAAAGTATACAAGTATATTTTTTCCAAAATGTAGTACATAATATTTTCATGCATTATACAAGTTCGTACTAAACAAATTAAATATCACTTTGTATAATTGTATTCACCGGCTTTGCCTTTTTATCGGTCCACAAATCGACCGCTCGTACAAATTACTTCGTATTATAAATGTTTCTCTAAAAAAGTATCCAACTTCTACTCCATACTATCTACTCGTATTATCTAATGAAGGTATTATGTTAACCATCAAAAAAGAAAGAAGTGTTGGAAAAAAAATTCAAATGTACGAGTTTTTATAATAATAATGAGGAAAAAGCTATATGCATTTCTAAGCTAAAAGTGAAAAGAAAAGACGTTAAATAAACATTTAATTTATTACACCTCTTTACTCGTGAATTGTCGATAAATTCCCAACTTAGTACTCCCCCGTCCCTTAATAATAGTCCCTTTTAGCCAAATTTTAGTCTCAAAATGTTCACCCCATTTGCTTTTTTCAACAACCATTAATATTAATTTTTTTATCAAAATTCCCTCCAATTTTCAACAATATTTGTGCAAATTTAACTTCTCAATGTAAATTTTACATTTTCATATACTTTTATTACTTTCTCTTTCTACTTTTTTCATACTCTATGTAAATTTACCTTTCCAATGTACTTTTACTACTTATTTAAGTTTCTTAATTCCCTTGAAATTTCACCAAAAAGAACTATCATTAAAAGACGAAAAGACAACTAAAAAATTAAAAGAAGTATATTAAATGCTTATATAGCATTACCTTAATAATAATAATAATAATAAATGAGTAGAATTAATAGAAACATCTCAAAGACGTAGTGATATAAAATGTCATGAATATAACCCCCCATACGGAAAAAAAAAGTCATGAATAGAACAATAGAAAATTACATATGAACTAGCAATATACTACGTACTACTTTACATGGGGAGTATATTTGACTACATTACTACTATTAGCTACTAGTCCTACTACTACTATATTATTATTATTATTATTAGCTGTAGTATTTAGTACTCCGTATTAAGTTAAAACAAAAATGTCGTACACTCAAAAGATATATATGAGCGAGTATATTTGACTATTTGTGGTAGGGAGGCACATTAATTTTAGTCAACATTATTATTAATATTTCACCAATAATTTTGAAATTTCCGGCGCAATAAATATACTTCTACAACTATACGAGTATTAAAGAAAATGGAATTATGCTATTAAAGCTAAGATGGTATAACTCACACTCACATGTGTGCGTGGATGCGTGATAATAATAAAGCAAGTGAAAAGAGAAGTTAATATTGCTTGTACTTGTACTGTTGTAATATTAATTTCTAGAGAAATCGTTCAATATAAAGTTTATCATGAATTATTAATTATAAGAGAAAATAGAAATTATATAGCATCATGATTTATGACTTATTGACTTGTATATTAAATACTCCTTAGTTGCGTGTATTGTTTCATTGTTTGTATAATAAAAAATCATTTATCACGTGTAGTCGCCCTTATTAGTTGCGTGCAGTCTTAATTATGTACTGACGTTGTATTAGTTTTGAATTATATACTACGTATCTTCTTTCTTTACCCCTCAATTCAATAGACTTTCTTCTTTTATTTGGACTTTCACGTTTAATTATCCTTTGCTAAAACCATTAAAAAAATAATTTAAAAGTACTATGACTCTATTTTTCTTTACGAAAATAATAAATAAATGAATGATATACAAAGTAGTAGTCAAGAGGAGTATGTGAACAGTAAAAGACTGAATAAAGCTATTTTAAAAAAAAAATAACAGAGGAATCAATACTATTATTTTAAAACAGGAAGTTGGAAGGACACTTGTCCTCTTCTTGTTTTTCCTGTTATAAAATAATTTTGTTTATTAAGTATAAAAAAAATAAAAAAATAAACATATGTCTCTTCCATCCCAATCCCCTAATCATGCCTATTCAACTTTCATTAAAAAAAATAATAATATTAAAACAGAAATTCAATCAAACATCTCTTCTAAATCTCTTTCATCCTAATTCCCTAATCATGCCTATTCAAGAAAATAATTTTTTAGATATATTAACTAAATAGATTAAAATTAAAAAGGTTTTTATAATTCCTCTATCAATAGAAAATAGCCTTAACAAATTTACAATAGTGTTAGTTCATTTTCTTTCAAATATATAAATAGAGAAATGGTAAACGAAGATCAATATTTTTTTCTCGGGAAATTAATTGTTCAAAAACCCACCATTGAAAATAGTAAATTCCTTTCCATTTCTATTTCACTATGCATTCATATTTAAAGTGTCGCTTATGTATGATCTAAATGTGTTTTCCACATTTAACAGAATTGATATGTTTGCTTTATAGCAAGGTCATTGTGGATCATTAGTAAGTGAAGTTCAAATTGGGCTACAAATTCTTTTTGGTAAGCCTGTTTCTTCTAATTCATGTATATTGCAAAACAATATAAAAAAATAAAAAAAATTGTAGCCCGTATATGTATATTTACTATGGAGTACAAGCTAAAATTTATTTGCATGGTTGATATGGCATATATGGTGGAAGATTGCTATAGTATTCAAGAGAATTGGTAAAATGTAATCTTTAATGTATGTATCTCACTTCAAACTTTAGGGTGTTTAAGATGTAATGGTAACATTTATTAAGGCTAAAGAATTTTTTCAAGACATCACAACTTAAACATATATGTTAAATAGGATCAAACAGTTTGCATTTTTTTAAATCATTAATTATGTACCTGAAAATCAAAGTCCCAATTTAAATATTTCTACCTTTTCTAAATTTGCAGGAAGGAAAAAACTGGAGCACTGGTGAAAGTGAGAATGAATTGGGCTGCAAATTCTGTTAAGGTTAGTTGAAAATGGACCACTTCTACTCCATGTTTCGTCAATCGTTATTTCTTTACATCAATGCTTGAAACACCAATAGTCCAATATAGAGCAAAGGAGAACTCTAGATAGACTCTTAAAGTTTTATTAAAAAAAAAAAAAACATTGGAAATTATGTTGTGTAGCTTCTTTTTAAACAATTTTTACAACTCCATAATTAATAAATATTATTTTATTAATGTTTATTTTAAATAAACAAAAATTACAATGCAATAAACAGTCATGCATCGCACGGATTTAAGACTAGTTATATTTTAAAAAAATTATGTAAAATGAAAGGAGAAAGGACAAAACATGAAGTATAAAATGGGCGGCCTGCCTGCTAACGCAGGACGCAGCCCATTAAAAGCAAACCAAAGTCAGTAGTTTGGATTAAGATATTCTTATTTGGTTGGACTTGGACCCTTTTATTTAGTGAGTTGCCTAAATGTTTGCTCAATGCCATCAAAATCAACCCATGTAAAAAGCCCAATATTTGTTGGATAAAAAAAGCCCAAAAGAGACAAATAGCCCAAATTACAACTAAAATGAGACTAGAACAATATACTATTCCACAAAACTCGAAACTATTTAAGCCAGGAAACGATTTTGATTTTGGCACACCAAAAATTGGGAGACACATTCATTGTGAAAGTATAGTTTTCAAGGAGGTGTGTCAAAATCAATCACGGGTGTGCTAAAATCAATTTCAGTTTGAGACCAAGAGACACAATTTGAGTCATTTAATAAAATATCACACAGCTAGTTTTCTTTTGTGAGTTTGTCCATTTCTTTCCCCAAACAAACCACTTTTACATTGCTTGAATGATAAATCAAACTTTATAAGTGTTCAAATATTCAATGTCTCTTCATAGTAGTCGAAAAACTTGTGAACATATTCATCGAATTTAGGAAGATGATACACACATAAAAATACTTAATTAAAGTAAAATTACCTGACTAGGGATGCGTCTACCATAGAAGACAGAATTTTGAGGCCAAAAATCATTGTAAGAAGGATGAGTATGAACATAGATTGAGTATAACCCTTCATGACCTTTAAAGAACAAGTCCCAAAGTCGGGCTAATGGCAAGGGCCCTTTTGTTAAGAACATGAAGGCCACTTTAGGCATGTATTCATAAGGGTATCCTTCCATTTGAGGGACCATTGATGCTCTCCATAGCAAATCCTTGTCACTCATATTATGCATTATTACACTTTCCATGTTGTACCCCTTCCACGTTGATGAAATAGTGTTATTCGTTGTTTCGTGTGATGTAGATGGAGGGTACGAGGGCAGAGGCGGCGACTGCTGCGGTGGTGGTGAAGATGGTGGAGGCTGAGCCGATAGCTTTGCCAAGTATGGCAAGGTAGCGGATAAAGATGGCCATGAAGATATAGAGAGAGGAAAGCTTTGGAGATCAAGTAAGCCAATAGTTAGGCCAAGAGATAAGCCTAAAGCAAAGAAAAAAAATTGATCTAATTTAGCCATATTTTTGTACTAGAAGTAGGGGTGGGACTTCGGTCTGGCAGTTCGGTTTGACCTCAGTTTGAAACGGTTTCGGTTTGAAACGGTTCGGGTTAAAACGGTTTCATTTAGACGGCGGGTCGATTCAGTTCGGTTTTGATTAGTCACAGGTCGGTTCGGTTTCGGTTTATTTTTGTACGATTTCAATTCGGTTCGGGTCATAAACGGTTCGGTTTATAAACAGTTCGGGTCATAATCAGATCGGTTAGAAACGGGTTGCTTCAGGGGCGGATTTACTCGGGTCAATGCCGGTTCGGTTTTTAAACGGTTCGGTTAATAATCGGGTCGGTTTGAAACAAGTCGGTTCAGGGGCGGGTTTACCCGGGTCAATGCCCGTTCGGTTATAAACGGTTCGGGTCATGATCTGACCGGTTTGAAACGGATCGGTTCAGGGGCGGTTTTACCGAGTCAACGTCGGTCCGGGTTCATATCGGTTCGGGTCATGAACGGATTATTTTAAAATGGGTCGGTTCAGGGGCGGGTTTACCCGGGTTAATGCTAGTTCGATTCATATCGGTTCGGTTTATACTCGGTTTGGTGCTAAAATCGTTCGGGTTAGTTTGGTAATCGGTTAAATTGGATCGGGTTGAAATCGAGTTCTAAAAAGTGGTTTTAACCAGTTAGCGCGTTTTGTTTTATATCAAGTTGGGACTAGTATTTCCATTTCATTAGCGGGTCGGCATAGGTTGGTGAAAAAAATAATGGATCGAGTAGAAATTGGGTTTTAAGAGATTTTTGACCGGTTAGCTATTTTCGTTTTATATAAAGTTGGGACTTCGTCACTTTATTTTCAGACATCGGATTATATACAATTACACAAATCTTCATTTATTCAATTATTCTATATCATGTTAATATATTATGTTTCAAGTTTGGTTATACTCTTGTTGTTGTTTATTCGATATTATCATATTAGTCTATTACAAATTTATAATGTATTAATGTATTATTGTTTCATTATTAAATATATATTATTAGGTTATCAGCTTCTTGTTGGATTGTTTTAGATATCGTGTCATGACCATGTTTTGATGAGTTGCTACTTTGAATACGATAAATCGATTCAGATATCAGATTATATAGAATTACAGAAATTCTCATTCATTCTATATCATGTTAATGTGTTATGTTTCAAATTTGGTTATAGTCTTGTTGTTGTTTATTAAATATTAGTCTATTACAAATTTATAAGGTATTAATGTATTATTGTTTCATTATCAAATATTATCAGGCTATCAGCTTCTTGTTTTAAAGATCGCGTCATAACCATGATTTGATGAATTGGTACTTTGAATACGATAACTCGATAATTGATATTGTAATAAACTAATAATTTAATGTTACGGAACTATATTTGGATGTTTAATTAAAATCACGATTATTCAATTTCCCATTAGTCTAATAAAGTAATAATTGACAATTGTTTGTAACTATTCCATAATTTTGGTGTTAAAGTTATATTGTTGAATTACTTTGTTGTCTTACCCTCTCTAATCACCTTTTAAGATTACGTGCCTACAAGGCTGCAACATATATATGTTGCAACTTGCAAGTTAAAGAAAACGGGTGGGGAAGTAGAAATATTCAATTAGATCGATCATCAACTGTTTTAAGTTTTAATAATCAGATACATTTATCGATTATCTATACATACCAATGATAGTATGATACCAATCGTACCATACATTATTATTTATTACATATACTGATATACATATAACTAATATACATTAAATATGTCATATTGAATCAATTCCAATTTCCAAACATTTGTGTTTCTTACAATTTATAAGTTACATAAAGTTAAGAGTACAATAGTGTTTTTATTAGTACGTAGCTATGAATAAAAAAAACATATTATCCAAATCCATTATCCCATGATCCGTGTCACCGTCTTATATTAAATATCAGCCATTGATTTGCATGTCATCTAACGACCTATCATCGCACACATTCCAATTCACGATCCGTGTGTTTTCTTTTTCACCAATCAGATCACTCTTACCATCGTCTCTTTAGTACTCTTTTTGATTTCTCTCTCGTTTTCTTAATCCTCTTCTGTAATATTATCAATTTTTTGAAGCCATGGCTGCTAATATGTTCACTGCTCTCTCGTTTTCTCTCTCATCTCCTCTTCCTTCTTCCTTTCTTCTTCTTCCTTCTTCTCCCTTCTTCCGTCTATGTTCTCCTTTCTTCCATTTCGTTTCTCTGTCTCCGTCCACCGGCACCACGCACGACGGTTTTTATGGTCAAATTCGACCACGAAACTCTAGATCTAGTTGTTTCATGATCAAATTTGGCCTTTTCAAACCAAATTCGAGGCCAAATTCAGGATTAATATATAAGGTGTTTTCGTTCTTCCTTTTTTTATTTTCTGTTTTTCTTTTTAATTTTTTTTCAAGTTGTGGGCAACGGAGGGGGCCGAGTTAGGGTGGGTGCAGCGGCGGTTAGACTGGGTTCGGGTGGGTGGGGAGGGAGGATTTTTCGAGGGAGGGAGGGAGTTTTATGGTGGGTGAGCAATTAGAGTGAGTTGGGGGGTTTCGAAGATGTTGGGTTTCGTGGGGGTGGGTGGGGTGGGGTTACGGTGGGTTTGGGTTTTTTTTCGATTTTTTTGTATGGGGTGGGGTGGGGTGTGTTACGGTGACGGTGGTGGGTGTGGTTGGGGTTGGGTCTGTTTTTTTTTTTTTTTTTTTTTTTTTTTTTTTTTTTTTTTTTTTTTTACAGTGACGGTGGTGGGTGGGGTGGGGTGGGGTTTGTTAAGGGGGTGGGGTGGAGTACGTTACGGTGATGGTGGTAGGTGGGGTGGGGTATGGGTCTGGGTTTTTATTATTTACGGTGACGGTGGTGGATGGGGTTGGGTAAGGTTTGGGTCTGGGTTTTTTTATTTACGGTGGGTGGTGGGGTGGGGTGGGGTGGGTTACGGTAATTATGGTGGGTGCGGGGGTGGTGTTAGGGTGGGTCTGGGTTGACGTTGGTGGGGTGGGGGTGGGTTACGGTAACGGTGGTGGGGTGGGGGTGGGTTACGGTAACGGTGGTGGGTGGGGGGTAGTGTTAGGGTGGGTCTGGGGTGACGGCGGGGGTGGTGTTAGGGTGGGTTACGGTGGTGGGTGGGTGGAGGGTGGTTGGATTGGGTGGGTGGCCAAATTTTTTCATTTTTTTATTTAATTTATAACTCCTAATTTAGTTATACAAGAATATAATTTTAATTTTATAATAGCAAAAAAATTTACAAATTTAAATCAATAATTATATGTAAAAAAAATTGTACTGTTAAATTACATTAAACATCAAATATATTTCGTGGAATTCTAACAAATTGTTAAAGGCTGTAAATAGTTCAATTTGAATGGAACGGGTTGTAAACGGTTCGGTTTAAATAGTTTGTAATCGGATCGGTTTAAACGGGTTGCGGTTTGAAAATAGTTCGGTTTAAACGGTTTAATGGGTTATAACAGTTCGGTTTAAACGGTTAGCGGGTTGTAAATGGTTCGATTTAAACGGTTTTTTCCTACGGTTTAAACGGTTTCGGTTTATAAACGGTTCGGTTTAATTAGTTAGCGGGTTAACATTAATCGGTTCAAACGGTTTCGGTTTATAAACGGTTTGGTTTGTTATTGGTTTACGGTTCGTAACGGGTTAACATTAATTGGTTCGGTTCGGTTTCGGTTTGACATTATACGGTTCAGTTCGATTTTCGGTTTAAAATTAGCGGGTTATAAACGGTTCGGTCCGTGATGGTTCGGTTTGGTAACGGACGGTTTTACGGTTCGGTTTGAAAAGTCCCACCCCTAACTAGAAGGAATTAAATATACTCATTATTCATCCATAATGAGTTTTAATTAGTGTAAATCTTGACTATTGAGAAATAATGAATTATGTAAGCATAAGTTTGATTTTATAGCTAGATATATAAAGAGGTGGATTAGCTTAATTAAGAGATTTAGGACAGCTTTTTGAATAAATGATTTATGAGTCCAACGAAAGTTAGGGGGATTTGCATGTGTTCGGTGTTCATGTACGTAATTTTTACGAGATTGACTTAATATGGTCTATGCTTTTTTATCTGATTGGACTGAATCTATGAAATACTGTATTTCATACTCTCCCTATTATGAGAAAAGTCAATGACCAAAACATAGGATGATAGGTCTAAGCAAAGGTTCAAAAATGGTTCATGTATAACAAACTTTGCTAAAATTTTAGAAATTGATATTAAAAAAAATTAAAAAATAAAAAAAAGAATTTAACCCTAACTAGACATTGATAAAAACAAATAATGCACGCGCTTCTAATTTATCATAGTTATACTCGATCCGTAACCTAATATAAGTATGTGTTATCAATTTAGAAATGCAATGTAAAATTTATCATTACTCATAATAGTTAGCCCTAAAATATATATGTACATTAGGTTTCCTCTAGGGTTTTTTCTTGGAAGGGTTTTTTTGGTTCCCTCTAGGATTTCTCCCTTGGGAGAGTTTTTCTAGCCTCCATTGCTAGATTTTTTCTAGTTTTTTTTGAAGGTTTTCCTTCACTCTTCTCCTTTTTTCTTTTTTTTTTTCTTTCATCTCTTTTCTTTGGATCTCTTTTGTGAATCTTTGTAGGGGCTTCCATCGATGTTTGATCGGTGGTAAGCCCCAAAAAACTTTTTAATTTACTTTCAATAAATGGATCCCATCTTTGAGATGGTAGTTATGATATGAGGGTTAATTTCTTTTTTGGTTTGTCTCCCGAAGTTTGAATATTTAGGGTTCGTAATCTTCGGAAATATCTAGAAAACCATATGAGTATTTTCACTCAAACAACTATTCATTAGTGGATCTCAAGCCGAATTAGTGCTAACTCACAGATTGTATTGCTTCGGATGAAGTTTTTTAATTAAGGCGATTGTTGATCGAATCTGCGATGTATCTATTTCTAAGGTGATTTGTACTTGCATTGGAATTCTAATTTTTCTAAGATTTGTAAGTGCCGTTTGACTATTTTTCATTAATGAAATCCTTTTTCTTATTGTCAAAAAAAAAAAAAAAAATCTAATATATATATATGTACATTAATATTGAACGGAAACAAATCCGGTGTATAGGTTTTTAGGCTATAAATTTTATTTTTGAGTAAATACGGGGTACTTCGTATCACCGATCACAAACTCCATCATAATATGCATGTTCATAGACTCATAGTTATATCAGTAAGGTTTATAGTTTTAGTAGATCCATGTAATTAAATAAACAAAGTTTGCTCACCCCTAACTCTTGGGTCAATGTCTAAACAACTAGGATAATGAAACAAAACATGGAACAAGTAATGAAGCCAAAAATATACAACCATCACTATTCTACTTATAATATACGAAGTCTATGCAAGAGCATCGGGTCAAAGTGTTAATCTCAACCAAATAGATGTGGTATTTAGGAAAAATGTGGTTTTCTCTTAGTACAAAACTTCTAGTACTACAAATTTGTGTGAACAAAACCTAAAAAACAATGTTTAATTACGAATATTAATATACAAACCAAGCACTAACAATTTTAATTAAAGTAAATTACAGAAAAATCACGAACTAAACTACAAGTGTGAAAGAAAATAACTTGCATTACTCCAAGCCAACGAAAAACAACAAGAACACGAGAATAGATGCGACCACGTAAGTCTCCAATGCTTGATACTCGTCTAAGGCGTGTAAACACTTTCCTAAAGTGATTATTTCTCCCACAACGGTGCTTGGGGTGAACCGTAAAAGCCACTTTGAGATATAGTAGACGACACTACTATTTTTGCACTAAGATTTGTAGTAAGATGATTAAATTCTCAAAGGAAAACTTAATTGATAGAGATTTAGATGAAGAGATTGCAAGTTTCTTCAAATAAAGTGTGAAGAGAATAACTTTGGGGAGGAGAGAAAAACTGAAATCATCTCTTTCTTCGTTTCAATTTTACAATAAAAAGAACGAAAGAAACCGCAAACTGCCGAAGAGCCACGGGCGCAGCGGTCCACGCTGCGGGCGCGGATAGGGTGAAATTCAATTCACCCTCTAAATTCTGGAGAAGGCTGGTCGCGGGCTGGGAGAGGACTCTCCCCAGCCATCGCTGGCGCGACACCCCTTGGAGAGGGCTTCCCCACATACACTTTAAATTACTAACAATCCTCCCCCATTTAGAGTGTATACTTTTAAAATCTTTCTCCACTTCTATCAACTAAGCCACATCTCATACATCAATGCCAATGTCCCTACGGATTGAATCGACACCTAGTACAACACACTTAATGATGATCATATCCCATGATTTCCTTATGGATTGAATCACACGAATATCTCTGACCATTCGAAGGTGAAATACACACAAGACAAATCGAATTAATATCACTTGACACTTTTATACATCCATGTGTCCGTATCTTTCATAAGTTCATCAAAGTCAATATGTCCATCTAGGCTTCTTGAAGCGGCTAAACTTCAAACTTACATAGGTAGGTTCTCACATGCGTAATAGTGCCCTTGTGATAAGACACCTTCATCTAAAGCTTCTCAACTCTAAATCTGGAGAACTTTAAATAAACGCTACCTAATAACATCACAAGTATCATAGCAATATGGGTCACAAACATTGCTAACAAATATCAAAAATGCAATTCAACCACATTGAATCTAAGACTTGATGTTTCTTCAAGCGTTAGATTGGGTTTCACAAATTCGTGTTTCTTGGACGTAAACCTATTCCATTCAAAGCAAAGATGATTGAATGCATTGGCATTGCTTTAGTAAAGCAATCTGCCAAATTCAATTTTGTAGGAACATAGTCAAGACTTATGATCCCACTAGTGATAAGCTCTTTCACTAGGCTATGCCTAAGAGAAATATGCCGAGACTTACCATTATACACTTGACTATATGCCTTTATCAATGCTGAATTCGAATCGCAATGAATAGCCACCGGTGACATAGGCTTTGGCAATAAAGGCAATTCTAACATGAGATTTCTCAACCATTCAGCTTCCTTACTAGCTGAAGCTAGAGCTATAAACTCCGCTGCCATAGTGAAATCGGCAATGCAAGTTTGTTTCTTGGAAGACCATGAAATTAAATGGCATCTCCCCCAAACATAAACACCCAACCACTAACTGAAGAGTCATCCTCTTTGTAAGTGATCCAACTTGCATCCGAATACCCTTCTAAAACCGTAGGAAAACCACTACAAGTCAAACCATAATCCAATGTACCCTTAAGGTACCTCAAGACCCTTTGAATTGCAAACCAATGTTGTACACCCGGGTTACTAGTTAATCTACTAAGTTTTCCTACAACCAATGCAATATCTGGTCTTGTACTTGTCATGGCATACATCAAGGATCTAATTATCCTTTAAAATTACAATTGGGAAACCGTTTTCCCCGAATTCTTAACCAATTTAACATTAGGTTCTATTGGGGTATTCACGGGACACTTATCAACATATTATAACGTTTGATTATTTCCTCAATATAATGATATTACTTAAAATAAGTCTTCCATTGTCCCTAATTATCACTACTAAAAATAGGTCGATTTCCGACGGACTGTTTCCGACGGACATATATTACCGTCGACAAAATCAGAAATTCCGACGGATTTTTATTCCGTCGGAATATATGGGCTTTTCGACGGAAATAAAATCCGTCGAAAGTTTCCGACGGAATATTCTGTCGGAATATTATTATATAATAAAAAAATAAAAAAATAACAAACCATCTTTACCAGTCAAACCCTAAACCAACGCCCCTCCCCCTTCATTTCCTCATTTCCGATTTCTCTTTCTCTCCTCCTCCTTCTCTCTCCTTCTCTAGTTCTCCTTCTCTTCCTCTACGCCCCTTCTTTCTTCTCTCTCCTCCTTCTTCTCTTCCTCTCCTCTTCTCTTCCTCTCTCCTTCTCCTTTTCTTCCTTTGCGCCCCTTCTTTCTTCTTTTTCCTCATTTATTCTCTTTCTTGATTTTTTTCCGGCAGGTGGTGTGACGGCGCGGTGTGACGACGGTGTTATACGTTTCAATGTTATAGAAATTAATGGGTTTTTTGGTCAAATTCGACCATGAAAAGTCTAAATTTAGACTTTTCATGGTCAAATTTGGCCTATTTAAACCAAATTCAAGAATTCAAAGCCAATTTCGGTTATTAGGGTATGTTTTTCGAGTCTTTAATTTTTTTTTTTTTGTGTTTTTTTTTTAATATATTTTCGGTGGTTGTTGTGGTGGTTGTGGATGTGGTGGCTGGTGCCGTGGTTGTTGTGGTAGGTGTGGATGTTTTTTGCGTCTTTAATTGCGTTTTTTTGTTTTTTAATCGTGGTGGGTGGGTCGGGTGGGCCGTGGTGGTGTTTTAAGGGCTGTTTTAGATCTGGGTTTAGGTGGGCGTGATGGGTGGTTTTAGATTTGGGTTTAGTTTGGGAGGGTTAGGGTTAGGTGGGGTGTGTTAAGGTGGTGGGTCTGGTTAGGTTAGGGTTAGGAGGTGGGTTTGGGTGGTGGGAAGGGGATACGGGTTAGGGTTAGGGTGGTGGGGAAGGGATACGGGGCAGGTGGTTTGGTTGGAAAACGGGTTGTTGGGCTGGTGGTTTGGTGGGAAAAGGAGTTGGACGTGGTGGTGGGGTGGGATGATTTTTTTTAATTTTTTTAAAAGCCTTTTCCGACGGAAATTCCGTCGTAATTTTTCGGCGGAACAGTATCCGTCGAAAATTTCCGATGGACTTTTCCGGTGCCGAAATTCCTCTTCCGACGGAAAATGTCGTTTTTCCTACAAAAGGTTTTCCGACAACCTGTTCCGACGGAATAGGGAATTTCGTCGAAAACTGGTTTTCCGATGGAATTCAGGGTGATTCCGATGAAAAAATTCCGTCGGAAATGGCCTGTTTTCTAGTAGTGTATCTTGATGCCCAAAATGACAACTGCCTCCCCCAAATCCTTTATCTGGAAAGATGAAGATAAGAATTCCTTGGTCATTTCTACTTGTTGTAGACTTGTACCAAATATAAGCATATCATCAACATATAGACAAATGATAACACCATGACCTTTGTCATCAAATTTGCTATATATACACTTATTTGCTTGATTCACTTTGATTCCAAAGGACAATATTGTGTCATCAAATTTTCGATGCCACTGGTTTGGTGCTTGTTTAAGTTCATACAAAGACTTAACCAATTTACACACCTTATTCTCTTGTCCTTCCAAAACAAACCCTTCGGGTTGTTTCATATACACTTCTTCCTCTAGTTCACCATACAAAAATGTTGTTTTGACATCCATTTGATGAATCACTGGATTATAAACCGAAGCCATTGCAATTAATAACTTTATGAAGGTAATTCTTGCAACCGGTGCATAGGTATCAAAATAATCAACACCATGCTTTTGTCTAAAGGCTTGGATAACCAATCTTGCTTTAAATTTCACTATGGAGCCATCCGGTCTCCTTTTTCTAGTGAAAATCCACTTGCAACCAAGAGGTTTGCAACCGAGAGGTAAATCATCTAAGACCCAAGTGTTATTTCCCATGATGGAATCCATGTCATCATTAATAGCTTCCTTCCAAAATGCACTATCTTGAGAAGATATGGCCTTGCTATAAGTCTTTGGGTCACTATCCACATTAAAACAACACGGAGTAGTAGAACTAATGACATCCCTAGAACCTTCAACTAAATAAATTATAAAGTCATCACCAATGTTCTTAGGTCTCCTTTGTCTCTTACTTCTTCTAACATGAGAAGTCTCATTCTCATTATCGAATGAACATTCATGAGATTCATGTTGATCATCAAACTCAACAATCTCCTTTCCATTGGTACTAACTTGTAGATCTCTAGGTCTACTCATTGATGAAAATCAGTTTTAATCAAAAATTGCATCTCTTGACTCAATAATCGAATGTATCGATATGTAGTCATTTCGTTCTATTACATAGAACCTATAGGTTTTACTATGCTCAGCATAACCTATAAAAATGCAATTCAAGCCCCTTTCACTGAGCTTTCTCTTTTTGTTACCGAACACTCTAACAATTGCCCTACAACCCCAAACTTTCAAGTATTTCAAGTTTGGTTTTCTTCTATACCAAAGTTTATCAAAAGTAGATTGTTTTCCCTTAGTGGGAACCCGGTAAGAATGTGACAAGCTGTCAACATTGCTTCACCCCAAAACCCTTCACTCAAACCAAAGTAAGATAACATGGAATTAACCATTTCTTGAAGAGTTCTATTTTTCCTTTTAGCTACACCATTTGATTGTGGCGCATAACCTGCTGTAGTCTCATGAATTATACCCAAAGATTGGAAATAAGTTGGATCATACTACTCTCCTCCCTTATCGGTTCTTATCCTCTTAATTAATGACTCTACTTGCACTTCTACTTCCCTTTTATAAATATCAAACTCTACCAAAGCTTCATCTTTAGAGTATAAAAGATACACATAGCAAAACCTTGAATAATCATCTATAAATGTAACTATGTATCTTTTATTCCCCAAAGAAGGTGTATTATAAAAGTCACAAAGTCACTATGAATCAATTTTAAAATATTAGAACTTCTTTCAACCCTTTTAAAAGGAGTTCTAGTGATCTTGTTTAACATACAAGTAGAACATTTATTAGGAGAAATATCACATGGAGGAATTAACTCTAGTTTAGACATGAAATTCAACTTATTGAAATTAACATGACCTAATTTAGAATGCCATAAATAAAACAAATTCACACCATTACTATTGTCAACATTCAAACAAACATCATACATCATTACAAACTTCTCTCTTAAAGAGACTTTAAACAATCCATGAGATAAATAACAACGACTAATAAAAGTGCCACCTCTAGTTATAATACATCTATCAGCTTCAAACACTAGTTTATAACCAAGACTATTTAGGGTAGGACCAGATACAAGATTTCTACTAATCTCCGGAGCATACAACACATCCCTAAGAATGATTGCATTCCTCAAACTAAACATTAGCTCCACTTGTCCTCTTCCAAGACCTTGATGGTTGAGTTGTTCCTCATAAAGAGGTCTTCTCCATCACCAACCTTGTGAAAGATTTTGAACCAATGTTTCATCTTGCATACATGCCTAGAAGCACCCGAATCAATCCACCATGAGTCATCATCCTGCACCATAAAAATGTTAGGATACGTTACATTTAAATTCAAACCAGAATTAAATTCAACCTCATGTAAAGGATTACCTTTGGTGGATGGGTCCTTACTATTAGAAGCATGACCCTCCTTGGCCTTCTCTATTTTCTTCTTGAAAATGTAGTAGCCCTTCTTGCGGTGTCCAGTTTTACCACATTTCCAACAAGCAAACCTATTGTTGTTCATTTTGTTTTTGAACTTTCCTTTGTAATCATTATCATACTTACGTTTTTCACTAGTTGAAGCACTAGATTTACCTTCTTCCACCATATTAATGGTGGATGTGTTAGGATTCCCATTCTTAACACTTTCCATGGCCCTTATTCCCTCTTCAACTTGAAGATGGGTAGCCAATTCAAACAAAGACATGTCTTCTTTCTTATGTTTCAATTCATGTTTCACATTTTTCTAACTAGTGGGCAGCTTATTAATGATACTTGAAACTACAAACAATTCATCCATACTAATACAATGTTGTTTCAAATTACCATAAATTCGTTATACTTCATGAAATTGATCCATGATGGACCTACTATTAACAAACTTAAAATTATTAAAGTTACTTACAAGAAATATCTTGCTAGAAGCATCCTCTACCATATATTTGCTCTCCAAGAACTCCCAAAGCTCCTTAGCAGACTCCACATGTTGATTAACATAAAAAAGATCATCCTCCATCCCATTGAGAATGTGACCCCGACAAATAAAGTCATCATTATCCCACTTTGACCTCTCATGAACATCCTTTATGGTCTCATTCTCATGTTCTTCCGGCCTAGGAGTACTTATAACATAGGCAACCTTTAACGAAGTAAGAAGAAAATACATCTTCTTTTTCCAACGTCGAAACTCCACACCATCAAACTTCTTAAGTTTGACAA